CTAAACCACGTGTTGAGATGAGCGGCCATTTTAAGAGAGGAGCTCGGTGCGTATGGATATACGGGCGGCGGCGCACGCCAGTCTTGTTAGACCGCGAAATCCGATCACAGGGGTCGAGGAGTCAGTTGAGGATCATACTATCCCTAATTCCTACCAAATCGAATGACAAATTAAAAGGAACGTAAACTAACCTATATAGTAGAACATCTATGCAATCAACAAGGGTCGGGGATTGACCGTTAACTATAAGCAAAGCCAGCAATGACCTCAGAAACTACGACCCGACTACAAACCACACAAGGGCTCTGAACAATGCAACGGGGTATTGCTAGAGAAAAAAAATAACGATTGAAAACAGGGAGAGAAGGTTAAAGAATAAAATGAGTATCGCCATGTTGATAAGGATAATGAGTAATGGATTCAGTTTCATTTACTGGTATAGATTCTTATGGAGATTGAGAGACTGCAAAAGCATACAGAATATGAATTTCTTTCTAAAACTGTTCAGAGTGCATTTACTGGCATGATAGCTACTTGAAATAGACCGGAGTCACTTGAAGTCACTTTATTAAGTGAAGAAGGCTTTCGCCCTTGAGCTCCCTATTCATATCCAAAAACTGCAAAAGAGTTCAACGTTAATAATAGTACATAATGCAAATGTAGGCTTAACATCAGCTGCTTTGGCATTTCTGCAGTTCATTTCTTTGACCGAAATGGTCGAAATATATGGGATTCTAGGTTAGTCGTACATATGAAATCAGGGATTTTGACAGTGGCACGGGAGCCCCCCGAGCCCTAAATGCGCGTTCTGGTGGATAAAAATTAAGAAGCGAAGTTCGAAAAAATTGAATTTCAGACGCTAACCAAACCGCCAAAGTAGCCGACTGCAGCTGAAAAGTCGCTCTTCAGCATAGTCAGACAACGGCTAGTCTCCAAGGTGTATGCTCGTAAGATAGTTCCTGCAAGTTACACTTCTCGTTGGATTGCTCGTTCAGTTTCATTTATTTGAGAGAAAAATCTGGAAGACGTAACCTTTAAAAATTCCAAGGAAAATTTAAACTCTACACAGCCACACAGGTAAATTCATACACCCTTTGTGTCTCGTACGTTAGTTGGCTGGAGTACAAGGTCGCTACTTATAAATTAGTACGAGCTCAAGTGTCCGCAAGAGCAAAGGTAAAGGCCGGCTAATCTAGGCGATGAATCTATCGCAATAAATCATTACTTAAACAACTTTCGGTGAAGAATATTTAATCGTACTGTAATAATAAGTTATTTCTGAATGTGTCAAGAATAGACAGGTCGGGTGGTGTTGTAGTGCCCACTTCAGTGTAGGAAGTTCCTCTTAAAGGCTCACAGGAAGCAGTCATAACAATTTCCAGGCTTCAGCAACTCTGTTGCAGAAGCAGAACTTTCATGAGCCCAGCCCAACCCCAATCACACGAACTAAGCCGTTGTGTAGGCTTTTCAATTTGAGCAGAAATTTCTTCCTCCTTCTATTAGCATGTAAATTTTCTTATATACACGTCGGTTGGCTTACTTCGCCCACTATAAACCGGTTTTTATCCTTCTTCGTTTACACGAATTACAATGACGACATGAGGGCGCAAGGTCACAGTGCTAGCGCTGTTTGGAATGTAGTTCAATTTGATCTATATTCGACGAATTTTCCAAGGATATTTATCCACAATGTCGAAAATTGTAGTCACCTGTGATAATGGATAACTTTTGATATCCCGTTGTTGTGAGTTTGTGCGCCCAATTTTCTTCTTTTGAATGGAGGATATTTTTTAAAAATTTGGTAATGATATTTTCAAAATAAAGCGTATCACTTATTAATTTTGTTACCATTAACGCAATGAGGCCCCCAGCTACAAGGCCCTGGCCTTGGCCACGCCTGGCCACACATGACGCAGACTATTAGTATCAGGTCGCCTTGCAGCTGTTGGTAACTCAAAAGGGAGAGATCAATATTACATAATCCTGTTTCGTAGGGTAGTGCGTCCTAATCCGTCCCAAGCTTGGTTGACGCCTATTGGATCTTTTCAAGGATGCTGAGGTCCCTAGTTGTCCAGAACTTCCCAGCGTGTCTATTGAACGGCCACAAAAATGTTCGAAAGACTTTAGCGAACTAGTCTTCAGCAAAGGCAGAGATTGCCCGTTTGCCGATATACAGAAATCACATTGCAGTCTTGGCTATTTTTAGTAGTGCAGCGAAGGATTAACCGAGATAGTGATTCACATTTCTAATTCTTTCTTCGTGTCCACTTCTTTCAGTGGTATTTGGAGTTTATATTTGTTAGAGCCAGAAAAGCACTATCTGAACAAACTTATTACTGAAATAAAATTATGACGAGGTGA